CAAAAATTGTGTCTGGCAGTAAGTGCCTGATTTTCCAAAAGATGGCACTTCAATAAGTTAGATAAGGACATTCCACGTATTTGAGTGAGATCAAAAGATATTGTAAGAAGTTCATTTAGATATACCACTGACACTGAAGAGTCTGCTTTATCGACTTTGTACAAATTTGGCCGACCTTTCAGCAGTTAATCGCTATAATTATGATAAAAAAAATTATCATGTCCCCGATATTTTTATTTCAAGATTTCAATACTAATTATTTTAAAGATTACTAAAATAATTGATACATTATATATATAATTATAATCTTACAATATTCAAGTTCATTAAAACCATCAAAACGCTCTTTAAAAAGATTTTATATTGTGTTCAATAGTTTCTAAACATAAAAAACATCCCATGTATTATTTCATACACGTTCGGTAAAATATTTTTAAATTTATTTTTAGTTTTTAAACAATTATATTTTTTCATTAATCCAATTCTAATTTATATGTCGCTAAAGTTACAAACTTATTACAAAATTTCTAATGTAATATATAGAAATTCTAATGTAATTATAGAAAAATTATGTTTACAGAATGGACTATATTTTCTTTGAAAAATATCTTTTACTAGTATATAAAAACGCATAAAATCCTTCTGTTTTTTACCAACATTCGATTGGTAGCAGTCGGTCGTAAAAAAACAAATATTTCTTTAAAAAATTATTACTATTCGACAAAAATTCTTTTTTCTTATTGTATGTCAATACAGAATGTACATCACTTATAATCAACTTACATAAGATACACATGCGATGCTACGTATTACAAGATTTTGTTACAACGCTACCAAGTACCAAGTATGTATAAATACATTATTTCCAACAGTATTGGTGAAGGTAATAAAAGTTAACGTGAATTATCATACCTAAATTTGATCTATCTATGAAACTGGATAGTATTTATTATGCAATATATAATAGGCTTATGTAAATTAAGAGCTGCGAAACAGTTTAATATTGATAAAAAAATCTAAATATTTATCCATATTTTTATGCATTCTCAAGAATTTGCAACAAAACGCATTATATCATCTTTATAAAAGAGATCACATAATATAATAGTATTTGATATTACAGATGAAATATTTATTCTCACGCGTATTTTATCTAAATTTAAAATTAAATAATTTTCACATCCTATCATGTTCAAATCACATCCTACAATGTTCAAAGTGAAGAAAATAAATCTAAATTGGCGTCACTGATTTCATTCTAAGAATATTTCAGTGTTAAGAGTTTGAATGTACATGAATTTTAACTTATATATGAATATTAATTTATAAAAACAGGTTCGTTATATAAACTATACTTTGTACAGTATAGAGCAGGCATGTTCAACTTTAGCTTCGGAGCTGAAACGCTTTCCCCACTCCATTTTCTCGCAGAGTGAGATGGAGATGGAAAGTGAAATAGATTAAGCATTTATTACGCGAAAAAGGCAGCGTGATAGGAGAAAAAAGCGTTTGAGAGTAGGGATAAGAGATCTCTACGTCGATAGAAGTTGGACATGCCTGATATGGAGTATACATAGTACGATAAAATAAATAATTTTAAGTTATGTAGCAAATATAAAGATTACAACAAATTGTATTTTGTTTGACTGTTATTTCGCTAAATGTAAAATATATTAATAATTTCAAAAGTTTAAAAATGTTAACATATTAACTTCATGTTAGCTTTAAAACATAGAATCACTCACAATACCAATTGTAAATATCACTTATTTGCAACTGCTGCTTTAAATAAAAATAAATGTTACAAGTGACTTATAATGTGGGCATAATACTTGCCTAATTTAATATAATCTGTACATTCATTAGAATTATTCTCATAAACATGAAAATGGTTGTTTAAGGCAAGGATATCTTACTTCGTTACTGTGATTTTCTTTTTTTAACTGGACCGTCGTGCGTTGCACATGATATAAAAACATCTTACCAAAAGCAAGATAACACATATGTAAGCATGCTATAATGTATATAACTAGATGTTATGAAGAATAAATGAAGGACTAGGAATCTTAACGGATCCTGATGTACTTTGGAATTTCCCCTATTTGATCCATTTGTGCCAAGAAATGTTCCATATTTATAAAAATGATCCAATAGTGCCTCTTTCTCTACCCATCTATCATACAACCATTTGGATAATTGTTCTGGTTCGCGAGGAACCTATCATCATAAGATATTATGTAACACGTTGCTATGCACACTTGCGTTATAAGTTTTTCATGTCAAGTTACTTACCACTGAGCTAGGGAAAAGTCGATAAAATAATACCGTCTCACATGGAGGTCTCGAACCAGTTATAATAGTAGGTAAATCCAGCGGCTTACCTTGAGGATACGCTATTGTTATATCAAGAACCCAACTAATTTCTGGATTAACTACCATCAAACCTGTAGATAATAAATATCACATAATACATTTAAGCACAAACCATGTATTATCATTAAGTAAAATTTATATATATATATATATATATATATATAAATCCTATACAATATACAATAATTTATAATACAGAATGCATTTTTACTTGGTCGGCTATTCAAGTGTTGATCCTCTGTATTCCTACTCTCTCTTGGTCCAAGGGTATCAAAAATCGTCTGCATGGCTCCTACTCTTGGTAGAGTCACATTTTCAAGAATAGGCAGATTATTCTTCTTAGCATATTTTTGTGAGGTCTCTCGTCTTTTGCACAGAAAACCTCCTTCCGGAAAGAGTACCATCCATTTTCTATTTCGTGGTATATAAGAATCTTTGAGATGTTTTTGTAATTGTTTTAAACTCTCTTCCCTTCGTTTACGTCCCTATAGTTATCTAATATATATTGACTGAAGGTAACATATAATCCGCATTCTTACATTGTAAAAAGCAGTAATAGTAATGAACCCTAGATTCTGTGTTTGTACATATATATACACACATGGTCTGTCCCAAAAGTTTCCAAACTTTCATTAAAATTCATTCTGTAAGGTAATAATTATAAGTGTTTTTTTTATAATCATTCGAAATACATCCTTTCTGAAGAAATACATTGTTTATAACGGTCTTTAGAAAACTCCGCTGAATCTTTTTTTTTAAATGATCGAAATGGCTTTGGTCAAAGCCTTTTGAATTCCAAATTGCACTTAATGTCGAATTGCTTTCCCTTCAGCTTCATTTTAGCTTCGGGAACAAAAAATAGTCACATGATGCTAAATCTGACGAATATGGGAGATGATCAAGGACTACGACTGATTTGGAAGCAAAAAATTTACACATGGTGATGTACTTGTGAGCCAGAGCATTATCATGCAGAAGCGACCAACTGCTTTTTCGCTCGATATTGCCCGATATGGACGAACCAGATCAATTCTTGCCAGTAAATGCTTCATTTCACACATAATTTAATATTTGGTCTTTGCTCTATCATAATTTTCAACATGTGTCACAAAGGTATTATCGGTTTTATACTTGTGATAAAACAGTTAAGAGGGATCTCAATTCAACACTTTCAGAATTTGTGAACAAAATTTCAATGAAGATAATACAATCTTATTTATATAGATGATGCTACTAATACCGTCCGTACAAAGGAAGTTCGGAAACTTTTGGGACAGACCGCGCGCGCGTGTGCGTGTATATGTATATACATACTTTAAAAAACTTCACACTTACCGATACAATGAAAAAATCTTGATGTAATATAGAAACTATCCCGAAATTAGTAAATTTGAATACTCTATCCATTATCCACATTAAATTAGGTATAACATTTGGTTTGATATTAAATGTTGTCATTAATATAGGAACATCACCAGTACTCTGATGATTTGCTATAACTAATGTTTTTTCGCTTATAATTTTCTGTATGTCATCACCTTGCTCTATTACTATAACAAAAAATTTATTTTCCTTAAATTTAATAAGCCTATCCCTTTTTCAATTTGTAGCCTCATTATTTACTGTACTTACTGTCGTAACCTGCAGACCAAGTCCACATCGACACCATTGCCAATAACCAGTGATAAAATAGGCCTTCGATTCGCCAATATACTTGAGGTTGATATATTTTTACAGGAAACAATAACAGCATCCATATTACATATGTAGGTATGCAATAGACATTGTTTAATATCACAAATGCTGTCCGTGCGACACATTTCAGTAAAGTCACTATGTTGTTGATTATTCTGAAAAATGTACATACTCTAAATAAAAGTAGATAAATTTAAATTTTTTAATATTGATAACAGACTATTATTAAACAGGTTAGAATATTATTATGTATTAAAGAGATATGCCTAGAGAAATGCCGCATATTTCCTTATAAATATAAAAATTTTGAATCTTTTGTCATAGGCTGCGATTTAATTCATACTCATGGCGTACTTGGAATAATTTCATCTTTGTTACTTATCAAATGTAAACAAGGACAAATGATATTCACAAATACTAAGCGTGAATTAGATCACAGTCATATATTCAACAGAATATACTTTATTTTCAAATTTAACTGTTCAATAAAACATTTTTATATAGTCTACTCATTGTAGTGTTATAAAATAAAATAATTAGATACATTTTATATAATTTAAATTGTATTTATTCTGAATAAGATTATGCCAATATTATGTATAGTTTGCAAGAATCAATATTAAACATTAAAAAGTTAAAAAAATTATATGTTATTATTGTATTAAATGTTATTTATTATTAGTAAACTATTACTAAGAATATAAAGAACTATATTTGTATGTTATTCTTCATGAAAAATCATAAAATCAATATATAGATCACAATTCTTAGTAATTAAATGTTGAAAGAAACATAAATCATTAGATACATATAATATAATGGTAACTAAAGAAACAATGAAAAAAATTTGTCATTATACATTATACATATATATATGTATAATGTAATATAATACACAACTCTGTCATTACACATGTACATACAATCAAAGCATAATCAATAAATATAGACACAAACTAATAAGTATATACATATACTAATTAGAAGTATTTAAAGGAAGTGTTATGAGTAATTGATACTTTTATTAGTATATATGTATATGCAGTTACTATTCCAATTTAGCAAAAATATATACAAATAACATAAAATTTAAAGTGCTATTCTAAAATTTATCACATAGAATATATAAAAAATTATTTTTTTGTTTAATATTCTTAAAATATTTTTTGTTTACTGTTATGATATTTATATTATATTTACATTAAGTATAACTGAAGATTACAATATAATTTATACATTTATTTCTTTATATTTCAATTATATTAGAATTTATTAAATAAAAAGGAATTAAATTATATACAATTTAAATAGTAAATTATTTTTTAAAATAAGATATGCAATACACAACACAAAGAATTTATATCGATTAGTATGTTCTTACTGAAGTGTATTATAGTTTACTAGAATAGTAAACATGTGTATTTTTAATTTTTATTTATTTCTAAAATCTGAAGTGTACAATAAATTTTATGGTTTTATTGTAACACATCATATTAAACTGCAGCAAAACTGGCAAATACGAAAGTATTTAAAAATTATATTAAAATTATACTTAAAAGTATAAAAAAGGACTTAAATATTTTAGAAATTTATAGATTTTGCATGATATATATTAACCGGCTCGTGTATCTTTCCGTTTCTTTCACTTTTCCCTCATTCTCGTTTGTTTTTCTTTCGTACGATATAAGATACAATTAAGGTTAAGTGCACATTTTCCATGAAATACATGAGCACGATCTTTTACATGCATGATATCGATACGATGAAATTTACTTGGATATCATTTAAAAACTCGAAAATTAATAGTGAATGTTACAGTCACGCGAAAAATCATGGAACTTGTACATGTAAACGAACGTTACCTGACGAAAATAGATGCGGTGGAGGTAGAGTCAGTCATTTTCGAGTGCCACCATCCGTTGCAAAAGATCGAGAGAATTTCATACACTTTTTCTTCACCATAGCATTCTCTTATGTGCAATTTACATAATAGGAAATCATTACTCCAGATGACACACGCAGCTCAACGAATGTTTGCACGTCAAAAATTACTTGGAATTACTGCAACGTCGACGTAAGCATATAAGTATCTGCAAGATTCAATAATCGCGCTCGATCTTTCGTTTCTCTACTATACAAACGTTTTGTTTTGAACGTTTTGACTATGACATGAGAAATGCGAACAAGTTGTCGACATATAATTTACATATTCTTCTTACTTACGACCGAAATCTTAAATGGCTCGCTCACGCTAAAATATTTCGTTATTCATCGCTTTTGTTGTCTTGCTTGTGTTCTACAGTATCACAGTATACATATACATCTTACTGGAATGGCGGTCTAACTCGGCTCGAGTCGGTTTAGTTCGGTTTGACTCGGTTAATTCAGTGCATCTTGGTTCGATTAATACTAATTAATATAGTTTGTTACTCGTAACAGTGTTATCTTTGTAATAATAATAATTGACTTAACATTATTTTTTACGAATAGCAATAACGAATTGTAAATTGACGCTCAAGTCTGTTAAGATGTATGTATATACATATACGTAAATGTCTTTTTCTTAATTTTTTAGTTTTTGCAAATATGTAAAGTAATAATTGCTTAATATAGTATATGTCTGCATAAATGTCTCTGAGGTGTGTATTTTACATACATGCGGATGCACACAGGACGCGGCAACGCTTACTTGCCGCGCGGCGGCAGCTGGCGTTGTAGCCAATCAATTTATCGATTTTCTTTTGCTTTTATAGAAAAGAGATAAATTGATTGGCCACAACGTTAACTTCCGCCGCGCGACAAACGTTGCCGCGTCCTATGTGCATCCAGCATAAGAGTGCGTTCTCACTGAGCGCGTCACGCGTCGCGTTATCCGAATTGACCAATCAAAACATTCCATTTTATTGCGTTATTTGCCGGGCAATCCTGGATTTCATCCAAAAAAAGATTATTTTATCTCTAGAATGTCGAGTAAACTAATCGATGCGTCGCGCAAGGAGTCACGTGGCAAATGATGCAATAATAGCGTTTTCGATTTGTTGACTCGATCCGACTCCGAGTCAAAATAATCTGTTCTTTTTAGCGTTTCTTGTACACTTTAACTATTTTTTTTATAGCTAAAAAGAAC